GCCCGGAAGAGGTCACCTGTTCAGGAGCTGGATCCTCCTCCTCAGACAAGGGAGTGTCTGCAACTCCCAGTTCCACTGATCCCTCCTCCCCTAATTGTGAGGATGTCTCCGAAACAGCAGAGCTAGGTCTAGTATCACGCTCCACCAGAGGTGGGGGAATAGATGCGGAAGGAATAGGATGGGACTGCACCTGGCTACTCTCAGTTGATGACATAAACTGCCTGAATGCTTGGTGCATGAAGGCCTGGAATTGAGCCTGGGACCACATTTCCCCTTGGTCCCTGGAACTGACCCCAACCTCCGTTGAGGCACACCTGGTCTCAGGTGGTTGGTGTGCTGATGAAGGAGAGGAGCGAGGAGGACCTACCTGCTCGGTTTCCCCCCGAGGAGACCAAGGTCTTGGGGCATCCTGAGATGATTCAAATTGAGGTTCTGTCAAAGGAGTATCCAGTGGGGCGGGGGAAACCGTTTCAGTCCCACTGGATCTGAGCCTTTGTGCCTTGGAGAATTCTCTCTCCAATGCTAAGTGTCTCCTTGTGGCCTCTCGCCCGGCTGATTTGGAAGTATCTTTGGAAGACAGATGTTTGGTTTTAGCTTTTTTCTTCCCCCCCATGTTCAATTCTTCAGATCTGCGCTTTGCTTGAGCGGGGGGGACACTAGATTGAGAAGCCTGGGGCGAGGAGCTGTCTGCCATTGCTGTCTAGGTATTCCTGGACAGTAGTACCTAGAAATGGGGGGAGGAACCCAACACGCAGATCACAGTCAGAGATGGAAAACCGATCCTCGCTCTGAACAGAAGGCAATGGCAAGAACAGCCAGACAGTGTTCTAATGCTGTCTGTACAGGCCTTGTGACAAAAGGTCACGGGCTAAACTGAGAAACAGGTGGACAATAAAAGAATCTCTTCGCTCTTCTCTTCTAGGCCTTAGGACCAGTTAATAACACCTTGGTCTGCTCAAATGCAGCCAAGGCCCACACCTGGAGTAGCCCCCTCAAGTTTGACCACAACTCCTATGGATACAAAATTATCTCCCCCCCTGAACAGGTCTGCTCACAGACCAAGTGACACAGGCAACAACTATGCGTCCGCAATAATGCAGGAATAACTGCCAATGATTATGCAAAAATTTCAATTAGGCCTCCAAAATGGCGTCCGCCACGTGGGACCTCTAGAAGCAGCCGCGCTAGACCATGCGGTCAAAATGGCGGCCGCCAGGCCTTAAGGCCTGGAGAAGCAAAACCCTGTCGTATTTTAAACAGGAGAATCAATTACACAGCAGGGGAATACAAGGCTGATTTGGGATTCCTCCCCCAGTCCCCAAGCACTTGCGATTAGTAGCGCAGCCCCTGCTGCGATCCAGATAAAGCTGCAGTCAGGAATTCTCCCTCAAGGCCTCGAGGCAAGTAAATCACTCAGGAGGTCTCCGAGTTGAAAGGCCGACCTCCGCTACCCAGCTGAATTGGCGGAATCGCAAAGAGGCTACAGATCGTCGGAACGAGAGCTCCCTAACGAACGAAGCCTGCAGCCTCCTTTTCAAAGCCCAAAGGTCTGCAGGGGAGGGAGGACAGAGTCCCTATCCCCCCCAACGCAATCCTCTTAATTTGGAAGTGAAAGCCGAATTAATCTAATTGTTAATCAATTTGAATTTAAAGTATCCAATTTTAATTGAATAGCCTAAAAGAAAAAAGGAAAGAATCAAACTTAGCTAGGAGCCTTCTGAAAAGCGTCTTGCTGAGCACGAGACTAAGACAAAAACTGGGAAGTCACACCCAGAAGGAGGCGTGGCAGAGTTTTTTTGTCTTAGTCTGAGCAGGTGGGATTAAATTACCCAATCAGTGGAGTCTACATCCATCATGATGGATAAAAACCTAGATAAGGCTCAAAAGCATTCAGGGTGAGTCAGACATAGTCCTCTAGTGTTTATATAACGAGTCCAGACTAATTGCCTGCTTGAGCCCTCCTTCCAATTGGAACAGTTGCTTCCTAATATATGCCTTCATATACGTATTAAATAAGTCACACAGCCATTCTACAAGCAAACTGCATCCATATTTTAACATTTCTGAAGCAGATATCATCTTCCCCTGAAGCCTCACAATTTTTCAACATTCTCATAGCATTTATGCCTTCCCTTTCATCATTTTTTTCTTGCAGACTAACATTTGTAGCATTCATTTCAGTTCCATTCTCTGACATATTACTATTATCCTCATAAAAATCTCTAAACTGCTCCTTCCAGTATTCTCTCGACTCAGTTTCATCCCAAATCACTTTGGGACTAGATCATAATATTAATGTCCTAACACAAATGCATTATATGACTGATAGCTCATTCAGTTTAATACATTGTCAGTAACTCAGCAGACATAACCAAGTATTCTTCTCCCATTGATTTCACAAGCTACTCTGAAAATTTAAAGGTATGAGAGAAAGGCTGTAGAAATCCCTGAAGGGGTGATTCATTTTGATGAAGAATCACCTTCATTCTGTTTAAGGCAGCAACACATTTCTTTTGTTCTGAAGGGTATTGCTCTGCTTTGCATCTCCTCTTAACCCCCCCCCCTCCCAATTCACCTTGTAGGAGAAGACTTTGATATGCACTGTTGGCCACAACATTTTCAGTTAGGTTTAATGGGGATTGTGGGGCTACTTGCAGTATGTGTCAAAGTCAGAGTCTGGAGCCCTTTTAAAGCACATCAAAATTCTTCCATGCTGGGCAGCTTCACTGCATACTGCTCCAAAACCACCAGACTTGACTATTGCAACATGTACTGAAGTTGCACAGCCTTGAAGTCATCAACAGCCAGTGCTTGATGTCCCCAAACAGTTCAAATCAAAGTAACTTTGTTTTGTGGAGGCAAATTACATTTACCTCTTCGCTTCAGTGAAGAGAAACCTATTATTTCTGTAGTATAAATATCTTCCTCCAAACTAATTAAAATACCCATGTGAGACTTCTTAAGCATCAATAGACAAGGATGGCCTTCTAAGCCTAAGGATAAGATCCAATGCACATTTAAATTGGGGTCTAAGTTCCAGGACATTCAAATAGGTATACATGGAATGTCAGTGCCAGAGAAATTTTTCATCTCATTTTTAAATACTTGAGTTACTCTTTTTTCTACACTGCCCACACTTGGACAACTAGAGTTTTAAGAAGTTATTTTAGATTTCCAATTGTCTGCAACAGAAATATCTTCCCTTGGAAATTTCCATCCATGGCATTCAGAGCTAAAAGCAAGCATGCTATTCCCTTTGTATATAGACTGTACCTTCCCATAGTCACATAGGAGGCAAGTAACATAGAAGGACTAAAGGTGTTTTTTTTCAGAAGGCAACTGGACTTTGTTTTTCCTTGAAGATGTTTTGTTTTTCATGAAAGAACCTTCTTCTGTTCTGGAGAAGTCCAGTTGCCTTCTGAAAAAGCACCTTTGGGACAACCATGACCTGGATGACTGAGAATCTTCATAGAAACATAGGGGGACAAATTATATAACTATAGTAAGTGGTCAGCTTGGAGAAAATGTGGAATAGGCAAAGATGAAGTTAAGGAAAACAAGTCCCCCTTTTGGGACCGTGCTATAATGCATGAAATGACGAGGTTAGAGAAACAAATACATAAATGATATAAAAAATATCAGAACGAACCTCACCTCTAACATCTACACAAGCGTTTTTCAACCTCAGTAACTTTAAATATGTGGACTTCAATTTACAGAATTCCCCATATATATTTACTCATATTCTTGTGAGTTGTATTTTCATATATTTAACAAAAACATTTTATATGGCTTTTTTCTAGTTGCACTATGCTTTTCACAATATAACAGTTACAACATAGCTATTTATAACATGCTACTTGCTGTTTATTTAATAGAGTGATTAGAATAATAACTGTAATTTTAGGGAATCTGAGACCTCATTTGAAGCTATACTATACTTTCCAAAAACCTCAACCAACTTGATGCAGCGAGTTGTAGCACTAAAACTTTTGCATGTTTATTAATTTTCAACCTTGCTTTAGGCAGAATAGGACAATCTATGTCTTCAGGGTTCCATGTATCTCTTCCAGTGGCCCAATAACTATTTTATGCAATTGAGTTTTGGTGATTTACTGTTGAAAACTGAAGGGTTCTTGCTATTTTTAGTGAGAAACATACAAAATATGAGTAAAAAGGGATTTTGTGGCATAGGAACTGAATACAGTTATAACTGTATATAAAGACCTAAAGTTGCTTCAATATAGCTGCTAAATCTTTAAAAAAAGAAACTGAACATTAGAAAAATGTAAGAAAAATATACAAAAGTTGAAAACACTTGTTGCAAATATATGTGATTGAAAACAAAAAAAATAAAGTCTCATACTAATAAGTGCCTTGGGTGCAATCCCAAAACATCTGGAGCATCTCTTAAACACCAGTAGCATTGACAAAATCACTGTCAATTGCAAAAGGCAGCTTTACTTGGAAGAATTTATATCCTGCGACAATACCTTTAATACCATCAAACAACATCATCTGCTTCACCCAGGTCCATGGGAAGGAGTCAAAAGGTAGATAAAGGTGATGAATCTAACCTAAACATCCAGTTGACTGTGCAACAAACCATACTAACAATATAATAATAAAAACTCAGCTCAATCCATACATGTTACATGGTCTCCCCACTTTGTATTCTTGGTCTTTGCTCCCCGACTTTCTTCTCTGTTTTCAGTAACCTGCAGCCATAAAAAGTTTTTGCACTCCTAGTATAAATCTTAAAGTTTGCTTTAATCTATATTATGGCTTCTCTTTATGGTTTCTGTATATAAATTGTGATTTTCCCCCCCCCTCTTTTAAAATGGTAAAATAAAATTAAAAAAAATAATTTGTGAACTTTGTAAGAATGGTATTCAGGACAATAGAAATATTTCTATTGCTCATAAAACCATTTGGGCCATTATGTCCAGTTCTCTGCAGTCTCAATAAATGCTTTTGCTATCATAAAATGCCCAACACACCTCATAATCAATATTCAAGTCATCAGAATCTCCCTTAGTCCGGAAATGTTGCATGTACTTGTCCACTGTGAAATTCACTTGCTTATTGAATCGTTCAATGAGAACTGAGTGCCAATGTTGGTCATCCAGGAGGCTGCCCAAGGAGACTGAGGTATGGCTGTTGCCAAAACGAAGCTTGCCATCTCCTGCAGAGACAGTAAGAAGTTATAGTTAAATGTATAGAATTTTGGTTTTAACACCACACCCTTAAGATGAATGATGTCATCTAATGAAGGATGAATAGCAATAACAATAGCACTTATATACCGCTTCAAAATGCTTTACAGCCCTCTCTAAGTGGTTTACAAAATCAGCAAATTGCCTCCAATAATCTGGGTCCTCAGAAGGAGGGAAGGCTGTGTCAACTTTGAATCCAATTATTATCAAACTCCTGGCTGTGGGCAGAGTTTGCCTGCAATGCTGCATTCTAACTACTCAGTCACCAGGGTTCATACATGAATGATGAATGTCATCTCTGGGCTTCTTCCCTGCTATTCTTATACAATTATTTTTTAGCCTAAGAAATCCTTCACATTTGATTTGTTTTTCCATTGGAGAGCATGTTTTCATATTTATTTAACTGATAACATTGTTAATGCAGAAGGATCTGCCTATGAATCCCAGTATTCAACACATAAAATACACATTTAATACTCCTATCCATAACTGGATTTCTGCTCCAGATAAAATACATCTACAGTAAGTATTCTACCAGTTCTATCTTGAATTTGTCCACAATATAGCCTATGTAAAAAAGCAGAAATCTAGTCCAGCAGATTGATTTCTATGTAATGCTGAAATATTAAGGCATTCATATCTTATAAGTATATTAGGAAAATTGTTACATTGCCTGATCTAAAGAGCAATTGAGTCTGTAATGCTTAAATGCACCATCTGGATTAATTGAAAACTTGCAGCATATAAATATATCAGATGTATTATAACTGAGGGTAATGCAATTTAATTACCCCTACTTTTTTTAAATCATTACATCCAATGAGCTTTATTTTAATTTAAATGAAATTGTTATTTAGACAACTTCAAAGTGAACCATGGAAACATGGAAATTATGGAAAAATGATAATATTTGGGAAAACCAAACCAAATCTGAAGACAAAACACAGTTATATCACATCCAATTTTCAGTTTTAATGCAATCGATGAAGGATAAAATACACAGTTCACTAGGGTTGTGCAAAACATTTTGAGGTTGAGACATTATGATCTGGAAACATATTACCTTGAACTCAGAATGGAAACATTCCACATTGGAATGAACTGCTCTGGTTTATTGGAAACAGGCCATTCAGATTATCTGATAAAGTGAGAGCATTCTCATTTTATCAAATAATCTGAATGATCTATTTCCAATAAACTTTAATTTCACTTCATTTCACTTCTATAATTATGAGACTTGTTTCAAAGATGAAGTGCTTTCCAGTTAAGGGCGAACAATTTCAAAATTGCATTATTTGGAGTGAGATTTTAACGGGACTTTTTTGGATCAAGAATGAATTTGTAATGGCATATTTTGGGTCCAAAACATTTCACCTTCAAAACATTGTGCTACTTTTCATCTATTCCAGTTTACCACAAAGTATATTTGTGATATTTCTTCTCTACCTTTCCTTTAAAACAATAATAAGAAACCTATAATAAGAAACCCTACCATTACAATATGTAATTAAAATTACCACATTGAATAAGTAAATCATTGGCAAACAAACACAAATCACAAAAGGCTGTTGATGCTGGGCAAATTCAATCTGCCATTGCTGGGGTTCGGATCAGAGGCAACTCAAGAATTCATGGCTACCATGATTCTCATGGGCCTGTTCCAGTCCTAATGGGCCCAATGCAAACATAGGGCAACATATTAGATCTGATGTTCACATTGAAACAGATGAGATGTAATTTGTTGTGGGGGACATTTCCATCTGCGCTTTGTCATGGAGTTGTCCTTCAGGGAGGAGGAATCAAACAGGATTGTCTACCACAGCATCTGATGATAGAGCAGGGATGTCAAACTAGCAATGTCACGTGACGTGTCACGATGTAGTGTGACTTTTTTGCCATTGCAGGCAATGGGGTGGGCGCGGTTTTTCTATGATGCATCCGGCTTGTGGGCCGGCAGTTTGACACCCTTATATAGAGGGAAGCAAAGATAACTTTGGAGAAATGCAAGACCTTTTAATTCAGAGGCTGTAAACATAGCAACTAGGAAAGTACCAAGATAGAGACTTAAAATAATACTATCTTGATTCTGTAGGATGTAAGAAAGGACAGAGGGAAATTCTGTCAGGCTTCAAAGTTCTGTCAATAGTAAAGTCCCAATAGTCCTTCTTGGTCTGCTTTGAAGGGCTGACAGAAGAATCCAATGAACGTTCGAAAGAGCCAGTTTAAGATAAGATAAGATTTATTGTCATTTTTTTACTGTGGGCACAACGGCACACATAAAAAATGAAATTTAGTTGTCCGCTCTCAAAGTAAAACACATACATGATGCACATCTAAACATACTATGAACAACATATGTATAGATCCACATCCTTACATATACATAGCAAATAAATATTAAATACTGTCCATCTTGAATATATAATAGAAGGAGGAAGCTTAAGAGTTCACAAGGTTAATGCTGTATGGAATGAAACTATGGCTGAATCTGGATGTTGTGCTACGGATACCACGAAGCCTCCTCCCAGAAGGTAACAAGGAAAACAGGTCATGAAGAGGATGTGTAGTGTCCCAGATAATCTTACGGACCCTGCTCAAGCAACGCTTCTGTGCTATGTCCTGGATGGGAGGGAGGGAACTGCCAATGATCTTTTTGGGCATTTTCACCACTCTCTGCACCGCCTTCCTGTCTGAAGCAGTGATGCTTCCAAACCAGACTGTAATGCTGTATGACAGAATGCTCTCGATCGTCCCCCTGTAGAAAGTGGTCAGGACAGGGGAAGGAAGATGTGCTTTTCTCATGTGACGCAGAAAATACAGGTGCTGCTGTGCCCGCTTCACCAGTTTCTCACTGTTGAGAGGCCAAGTCAGCCTACTCATTAGCTGCACACCCAGGAATTTGATGCTGGTAACCATCTCCACAGGTGAATCATTAATGCACAGAGAAGTGTGGCTGTGCCTGCCTTTTTTTGAAATCAACAATGATCTCTTTGGTTTTTCCGGTATTTAAAACTAGGTTGTTTTCCTTACACCAGTTCACCAATCCCTCAACCTCCTTGAGGTAAACTTCCAGCTTGTCATCCTGAATAAGGCCCACTACTGTTGTATCTTCTGTGAACTTCACAATATGGTTGGTGGCAAACCTGACACAACAGTCATGAGTCAACAGGGTGAACAGCAGTGGACTTAAGATGCAGCCCTGAGGAGAACCTCTGCTCAAGAAAATGGTATTAGAGGTATTTGTTCCAACTCGCACGTATTGGGGCCTGTTGGTAAGAAAATCAAGAATCCAGTTGCACAGAGGAGTGTTTAAGCCTAAAAGGCCCAGTTTGTCTACTAGATGCTGGGGAATGATTGTGTTAAACGTCGAACTGAAGTCGACAAACAGCAAATGCACATGAGTATTTCTTTCCTCTAAGTGCTTCAGGCTCAGATGGAGAACAGAAGAAATAGCGTCCTCCGTAGAGCGATTTGGTCGGTAGGCAAACTGAAGCGGGTCAAATGCTGGTGGGAGGCTAGATACAATAGTGTCCTTTATCAGCTTCTGAAAGCATTTCATGATGGTGGATGTTAGTGCAACCGGACATAATCATTGAGGTCTATAATTGTAGACTCTTTTGACACTGGCAAGATGATGGCCGTCTTGAAACATAATGGGACCGCTGCCTGCTGCAATGAGAGGTTGAAAATATCTGTGAGAACACAAGCCACTTCCTCTGCACATTCCCTGAGGACACGTCCAGGGATGTTATCTGGGCCTGCTGCTCTCCGAATGTTAACTGTCTGCAGTGTTTTCTGGATAGAGGTGACATCAAAGCTTGGCACTTGCTCATCAAGATGGGACACAGCTTTCCTGGCAGGAGTGCTATTTTATGTCTCAAATCTACCAAAAAAATGCATTCAGTTCATTTAGGAAGTCTGTGTCATCCTTGCATCTCGATGGAGCCATCTTGTAATCCGTAATGGCCTGGATTCCTTGCCACATTCGCCTGGTGTTTGTTGGGTCCTGAAAAAAGTTCTGAATTTTCTGGCAATGGGCATGCTTTGCACCTTTTAGCAAATTTTCAAATTTGCTCTGCCCATTCTAAGTGCCAGCATGTCACCAGATTTAAAAGCCACATTCCGTGTTTTCAGCATCTTGCGGACCTCATAAGTCAGCCATGGTTTTTCATTCATCCTCACAACAATGCTTTTCAGGACACAAACATCTTCTGTGCACTTTTGGATATATGCAGACACCGTGGTGGCATACTCCTCAACATTTGTATGTTGGTTATCAGTAGCTGCTTTCTTAAACATGCCCCAATCTGTGTACTCAAAGCAGTCTTGTAATGCTTCTATAGCTCCCTCTGTCTAAACCCTCACCTGCTTTACTGTAGGTTTCACTCTGACTAATAAAGGTTTATATGCTGGAATAAGCAGCACTGAGAGATGATCAGAGGAGCCCAGGTGAGGGCAAGGCATAGCTTTGAAAGCCTTCTTAATGTTGGAATAAGCAAGATCCAGTGTATTGTCCCCTCTGGTTGCAAAGTCCACATATTGATGGAAATGTGGAAGGGTAGCTTTGATTAAAGTCTCCTACTGCAATAAATGCACCCTCTGGGTGAGTAGTTTGTAAGTCACTGATGGTATGGCGAAGAACCTTTAGGGCCTCTTCTGTTTGCATCAGGGGGGATAATGGTAACAGAGAATTCTCTAGATAGAAGGTGTTGAATGTAATTCACAACACTTCCACTCAATATAGTGAGGATTTCCATGACATGCCTATTTATGTCTACATTTAAACTCAAAGCAGATGTTGCCTATAGGAGGAAGAGAGCAAGGAGCACAAAAGGCCAAGTTTAAACCATGTAATTCTAAGTTACGGTTTAATATACATCTCCTCTTGCTTTAGTGTATGAAAAAGCGAAGCAAACAGAGAAAGCACAATAATTTAACATTTGTTACATAGAACAGAAAGTCATTTTTT